CCATGTAGAGGGTAACTGGCACAAGTTGTCAACAACAGGGAGGCATACTATGATAATCCTGTGGCCAACTTAAATCAACAATGTTACAAACCCTCATCCGCTTACACTGGTTTATGTGAACCGGAGTCGCAAAATGGGTCATGAGAGATTTCCAACAATGCAGGTTGTACAACTTCTGCTTACGACGAATGTCGGAAAAACACTAATAGACCGTCCCAATAACAAATCGTTTAGGTGTTTTGTTCACATCATCCCATTTCCATATGAATGTGCAGAAATCCCAATTAGGAATGGTTTATGCAATATCAAATTGTATCAGCAAACGTGTTCAACAAGTTCCAATCTTTCCCATACAACATCCTATAAGTGCTCACCAGACAGCCTTCCAATGCGAGATGTACAAAGAACTAAGCTGTTGTCACACACACACACACGAACACTCCCAATCGCGCATTAAGGCGCAAATACCAATCTCTCTCGCAGGCACTTCCGAAAAGACTGGAGAACAAAATCGCGGTGCCCCCCAGTTATAAGTTGGTTTACAACCCCATGAACTATAGTTATAATTATTCCCCATAGACTCTAGTTGTTGGAGTTATTTTAACCAACTTGGCTGTAGTAAACGGGGGCCCCACCTTGCATCTTCTCAAAACTAAAATTAAACCATCCAGAACTTGAGATACACTTGGCTTCGCTTGTGGTTGCATTTGGTTCAGGCGCTGCCATGACTCAGGTGTTGGTGAGGCATTGGTTTACGTTCAACCACGTTTAACGTTGTCCATACTTTCAAAACGTCACGGGTGACAGGTTTGAATTCGACAGCACTGTCCTTGTGACCACTATTTTTCTACTTGATTCTTCAATTGCAGGGAAAAACAAAATCCTAGAATATCACTGACTATATTGCCGTTATAATTAAGCAAAATCATAGAAAATAACTGACTATAATTAAATTGAACATTACAAAAAAATGCACTTCTGATGTGCTTTGCGCATGGTGCATCTCCTTGCCGCTGTCGTACTCATCGGTTCCTCGGTGTTTTCTCGGGTCCATGGCGGTCCACCGGACGTCTTCGTCATCGGTCCAACTTGGTGCCGAGTGCTGTCGATATCTGTCGATTGCGCATTGCAACGCGCCGTGAGTTGAATGGAAAAATCTAGGATCTACTACAACCATCCAAAACCTCGCAAAACGGGACCGTTCATGCTCAAAACAACCATGGCAGTCAATGGTGGCAGCACTTTTGGTGAATTAAGGAACATTCTCAAAATTGACGCTTGAAATTCACCAACTGTGGGGCATTTCGACTCACTAAACATGATTGCAGAGAGTTCGATGCAATGCTGGCTATGATTTTCCAACAAAAAATCAAAATCGACTAAAACCATCAAGACCATTACGGTATCTTGTGAAAAAACAATCAATTCAAGATCACTGACGTTTTTATCTTGAACATTGAACCATTCATGTTTCGTCGCAGAATATGATTGAACAGTTCCCAAGTATAGATTCGAACACCCATGCTCAACCCATGCGTTGTTTTCGTTCATTAATCTTCTCAGGGCGTGTTTGTCCCCCCAAAAATGGCGCCCTTCAAACTTGCCATAGCTTGAACTGCTTCCCGATTTGAAACAATCCCGTACTAGTCAAAAAAAATACTCTCATCTTGTGTCGATGCGTAGCATATTTCAATCCCCCATGCCAACATGGAGGTTTCCTAAAATAGGAGTACATCCAGATCATTCATTTATACATGGGATTTCCCATAAAATAAACCATCCAGTTCTTGGGGCATCCCCATTGAACTGCCTGCGTTCCTTGGTTCCACTCTCGGTTCCGCGCGCCTCGCGAGGCCAACCCTTTTCACAATGGATCCAACATCGTGCCATCCAACGCGCCGTGTCACCTGGGGCCACGAAAAAAAAACGCGAATCAGCCATCCCAAAAATGTGAATTTTTAACATCTCCAAAAATGTGGGCCCAAAAATGTGAATTTTTAACATCTCCAAACATGTGTGAACGTTGGCCCACATTTTAGTTTGTGATGATTGATTTTGTCAAAGAACTGAAATTCGACGCGAACTGAAAATGTTCGCGTGTGCAAACAGACGTGCTATCATCCGCTCCATGGTTTGTTGGCAATAGGAGGAAAATGCATGAAAACCAGAAAAAATCTTTTCAACAATGGCAGTGCATCAATCGGTGGTGCATGGAGCATTTGCTTTATAGACAACGGCACGATGTGTTGATGCGTTGGTGCTACAAAAAAGAGAGCACACCATCAACAATTCCCTTTAGTGAAAGCGAGCAACTTCTGGAGTCCAAAGCGTTTGCTTTGCAATGGTCGTAGAGACCTGGGTTTTCTCAAATTCGACTCCTGCCCCTTGGCAAGATGCCCAAACATTCAAAACGGATCTTTTGCAGTTACAGTCCATGGCCGGAAAACAAATATATTTCTTTGGGCGCGTTTCTCCTTTGCCTTTTGTCTGAGCATGAGCTGTTGGCTGGCCCGTGAAATTTCTCGCCGGTAAAGCCTTGCAAGGGTGCGCTTCCTGTTGCTACAATCCAATGCTGTTGCAGGTGCGTCTTACTTCCAGACATGCCGTGCCGAGAACAGCGCAATTCTATACATGAGTCCGTACAAGGTTGACAAAAATTTGGAATACTAAGTGTCACTCGGACAGCTTCCTGGAACTGACTCGTGTCTCAACTGGTGATTCTATGTGGCACTTGAATGGCCCAACAATATAGTCGCCAATCTCGACGGACTAGATATCACCAATGGTATCGCTCGGGATTGGGTTCGTCGAAAGATGGGCACCATATAGGCACCCATAAAGCCCAGTGATGAAGCACTATCATCATCATCATCATCATCATCAACATTGCCATAAACTAGGGTTTGCCCCATGTGCGAACAAATCCATTTGTAGCAGCATCTCTTTTAGATCCCGTGGTTGTCCAACATGGGCTGATCATGCAGGAATGCGGGCATTCCTGATTTGCAAAGATTCCGTGAAAATTGGAACAAACTGGCTCACAAACGAAGAAGCACACACACTCCAAGACAGGTGGCTCATCATTTTTGTGCCAAGACCAGCTTTTTTGTCGCTGAATGATTTTACAGAAAGGGACGCTCTGAAGCCCCAGCGTTTTTATACGTCACCAATCCAAGTACTGGAAGTCTGAAAGGTAATAAGAGCATAACAATATTTACACTGTGAAACAATTTTCAGAACCACAATATGCAAGTGAATCATGCAAGATATCTGTACTCCAAAAGCATTTTTCCTTGAAACCACTTAGCTGGTCAGATAGGGGAGTCACAAAAGAATCGTTTTTATTTTTTCTGCGCGTTTTTTCTGAACCCCCCTCTTCCAGAGCCTGAAGGTTCCTTGAAAAGTCATTGGGGCTGGCTCCTTTGGGCTCTTTGCCCCCCGGAAACCCGGACCGGACCTGAAAAACGCTCCCACGTTGCCAAACACCCCTGTGTATTGATCTAACTTTGCCGCTTCTGAATTCTAAATAGGAACCAGGTGGCAAGTAGCATGAAGGCATGATATAGCATGATTTGCGACCAACAACGACGAACATGCGTTGAGAAGTTTGACAGAAATAAACTATATATATATATACATATATACCCTCTGGTAAACTAACATAACTATGGAAAATCACCATTTTCAATGGGTAAATCCACTATAAATGGCAATTTTCAATAGCTCTATGTATGTTTACCAGAGGGTATATTCAATGAATCTAGCACGCACGGACTAAGAAGAACACCTATCAGAACCAATGGAGTTGGAAGTGAAAATCCGCACAAGAAGGGCTAAACAGCAAACACCAAGACTAGACATAGCGAAAGCACTCTGATTACTATTTTAAATCAGGTTTATTTCAGTATAGATATGTATTGTTGATGTTTATTTTCGATTTAAAGGAAACAGCCAATATATATATACATACATATACATACACACATGTTTGAAATATAATTGTGTGATAAAAGTGTGATATATATATATTTATGTAATTAAATATGTATATGCAAAAACATATGTACATATTCCACACTGGCAAAAAAATGTAATCGAATTGTTCCAAAAACCAGAAACATAACAAGACTACCAGAAACATTGGGGCCCACAGCGTCGCACACTCTAGTTGTATGTGTCTACGAATGGACCACTAGAGATACTTTTTTGTGGGACTGGGTGGCTCGGAGCCTGGTGCTTCGTGAAAAGCGGTTGCTCAAGCACCATCCGATTTTGCTCCTCCGATAGTGTTCCAGGTGCGTATTCCTTCCAGATGTACCGGGAACAGCGCAAGTCTATGCATGAATCCCGACATGGAACGGACTAAAATGTGTGAATTTGTCTCTGCGGTAAGTGAGATAGGACACTTCACCCCAACTACCCTCTGGTAAACTAACATAACTATGGAAAATCACCATTTTTAATTGGTAAATCAACTATAAATGGCAATTTTCAAGAGCTATGTTAAATTACCGGAGGGTAATCCTCCTTACCCTACGGAATTAGTTTCAGTAGCAAACCAGGAGTAAACCACCAAGTGGCCTCATCATTTTGATCCACAGCCACTTCAATTCTGCCGTAGCCCCAAAAGGGATAGATCTAATACTAAACCAGGTCCTTCATAGTGGATAGTTGATGGATAGTTGATGGATAGTTGATGGAGTGATATTCCCCGTTTGGCATGCGACCCTGCCATATATTAAGACCCAATGGGAGATGCTTCCTAGTCTCAACTGTCGTCACATTTTAGGGCGCCATACAAATCTTCACTGTCCAATGGCGTGGGGGGATCACCCCAACTGGTTAAGCCAAGAATCAATGAACCCCAGCTCCAACTGGGATCACCATTTCAACGTTTGGTACTGGGAAATGGGGTATTGTGAAATCCAGGTTGATCCCCATTTCCCTTCAAATAAGGCCTATGTAAGGGAATATCACCACAAAATATGGCCTTATATGGTACAGTACCTCCATTTTAGGATCGTGAAATTCCCATTGATTAAACATTGCCAATGGCTTTTGAAGGTATCACTGCCTAGACACATCCATTCAGGCGAGGTTGCGGAACCGCGAAACTTGAAAGATTGCCTATATAAAGAGCAACAGCGTGGAATTACAACGATCGCATGGCCAAAAACGATCAAAAACGGTCATGGACAGCAAGAATGAAACACACACACGCCAATCATTCAAAAGTAATTTACCCTCTGGTAGACTAACATAACTATGGAACATCACCATTTTTCATGGGAAAATCCACTATTTCTATGGCAATTTTCACTCGTTTTTTGTATGTTTACCAGGCCGGGTACCAAGCAATGTGATGTCAACTGTCAACCCCGGATCCCTAGTTACACCTAGGCTGTTCATAATGTGGGTATCATTTTAAAAGCATATGACATCACCAGTTAGAGGGTATCCCCTAACTCACCGAGATTTAGTGTAATCCTGGGTTGACATTTCTTGTTAAGCAACCTCGTTATCAGAAGTGATACCAAAAAAATCGCAAGCTGTTCCTGCAGTAGAGTCTGGCAAAATTCGGAATTCAACACAGCAATATGCATTTATGAGTGATGGCTACCATGAATATGGGGATATAGATGGATATAGAACCTACATGAACCTACTAGCAATTGGGGATTATTCAAACATTTTTTCGGGGATATCTTCCGGACATGATGGAGATTTTTGGAACGAACAATTTCGGGTTTGTCTGCAAATGGGGGGGTGAAAAACCCCGGTTTTATGTGTTGATCAATGGATAGAATGATTCACACACTAAAGATATATGGGGATGGGTCAAAACCCTGGTGCCTGATGGACATCAAAATAGCTGGTAAATGGATGTTCATCCCACTAAAAATGGTATTAATAGGTATTGATCCATACCCATATCACAATTTTCCGCTCGAGTCACTTGGAGTACAATGATTCAATGACATGATTGGCAATTATAGAAAAATATTCCAAATCACATGTTAAAATAGATCATGAATATAGATCATGATAGGTGAATCTAGATAATATTCTAATATACGATTACAATGGAGCTATTACCATCTGGTTATTTAAAATAGCAATGGAAAGATCCACCATTTTTAATAGGTAAACCATTTATTTCTATGGGCCATGGCTCCCATGGCTATGTTAAATAACCAGAGGGTAATTTCCCAGTCCCAGTGTTGTTTTCTGCTTAAACTAACGAATCATCCTCCAAGGGGCACTCGGAGCAACTTGCAACCTCAGTGGATGGTGCCACGGCTGAACATCAGCGGTGGATGATACAACTGGTTGTTGCCTCGTGTAAAAAAAAAAGAGCTTGCGAACTGAAAAATCACCATTTTAATAGGCAACCCACCAAACTAAACGGGTGATTTTCCATAGCACATATGATATTTATATTGAATTACCAAAGTTACTTTACAATATCACGGAAGTCTACAGCTACCCACCCAGCGCTTAACCCCCTACCAAATCATGCCTCATGTTTTGCGGTCATCAATCACCATCACTGGTGGTCACGTTACCTTTGGGGGGGGATACCCTAAAACTTCCATAACAATGGTATTAATGGTGATTAAAGGTGCACATCCTATTTGGGATGGCATGAATTTCTGAAAGTTGTGGCGGGAGGCAAATTCTGCCATGCGGTGGTACAAGGCTGGCTCTGTAACAAGGAAGTGGATCCGCTTGTTGCTGTCTAACTCTTCGTCCCAAGGACACCATTTGGTGTTACATGCTTCCAGGCTCGGGCATAAATGGACGTCAATGTAGTCTGCATCGGCATGATGAAGTCGTTGACCAAGCAAGCCGTGTTTTGGAAGCCCAGACAAAGCAGTATGACGTCTATGATCGAAGGAAGTTTAGAAGTCAAACTTCCGACAATATGGACAGATGAAAAGCAGAGTAGGGCAGAGGCATAAAGAAGAGAAAAAGTAGAAGAGAGAAGAGTAGAAGAGAAAGAGTCAGAAGAAAGAAGATACAGATGCGCGAAAAGGTGGGAAAGTCGCGATTCACTGTGTTTTCTCCAATGAGTTGTGGCTCCAGAGGGTCGAAAAGTAGGCTCGCTAAAGCGGCGGGTGCGGAGCCAGCTGGCCAGGTGAGAGATGAAAAATTGCACGCCGTTGTGGCGCGAAGCACATTTCCAAGTCAAAATGTACAAAACACACCATTCTCGGACCACTTTTGGAAGTTGAGATGTCAAAAAAGTGCACGCCGTTATGGCGCGAAGCACATTTCCAAGTGAAAATGTACAAAGCACACCATGGTCGGACCACTTTTGGACGTTGCGATGTCGAAAAAGTGCACGCCGTTGTGGCGCGAAGCATACTTTCAAGTCAAAATGTACAAACCACACCATGGTCGGACCACTTTTGGAAGTTGAGATGTCGAAAAAGTGCACGCCGTTGTGGCTCGAAGCACATTTCCAAGTCAAAATGTACAAAACACCACATGTTCGCGCCACTTTTGGAGGTTCAGATGTCGAAAAAGTGCACGCCGTTGTGGCGCGAAGCACATTTCGAAGTCAAAATGTTAAAAACACTAGGGGTTCGGACCACTTTTTGAGGTTCAGATGTCCCTTCGCTTCGCTTCACTACACTACATTACCCTACACTACACTACACTCCACTAAACTACACTACATTACACTACACTACATTACATTACACTATACTACCTTCCACTACACTTCGCTACATTACACTACACTACACCCCACTACACTACAAATACAACTACAACTACACAACTACACTCCACTCCACTGCACTACACTCCACTACACTAAATTACACTACACTACACTACACTACAAATACAACTACACAACTACACAACACTACACTACACTACATTACACTACACTACACTACACTCCCTTCCACTACACCTCACTACATTACTCTACACTACACTCCACTACACTACACTAAATTACACTACACTACACTTCACTACACTAGATTACATTACACTACACTACCTTCCACTACACTTCACTACATTGCACTACACTTCACTCCACTACACTACAACTACAACTACAACTACACAACTGCACTCCACTACACTCCACTACACTACAACTACATTACACTACACTACACTCCACTACAAATACAACTACAACTACACAACTACACAACTACACTCCACTACACTCCGCTACACTACAAATGCAACTACAACTGCACAACTACACTACACTACACTACATTACACTACACTACACTACATTACACTACACTACACTACACTCCCTTCCACTACACCTCACTACATTACTCTACACTACACTCCACTACACTACAACTACAACTACACTACACTCCCCTACACTCCACTACACTAAATTACACTACGCTACACTCCACTACAACTACACCTACGACTACACAACTACACTCCACTACACTCCACTACACTCCACTACACTAAAAAAATACACTACATTACACTACATTCCACTACACTCCACTACACTACACTACATTAAACTACATTACACTGAATGACACTGCACCACAGATAGACAGGTAGACAGATAGACAGATAGACAGATAGATAGATAGATAGAAAGATAGATAGATAGAAAGACAGATAGACAGATAGACAGATAGATAGGGCATTAGATGAAAGAGAGAGAGAGAGATAGATATATAGATCGATAGATAGATAGATACATAGAAGATAGATAGGTAGGTAGGTAGATAGTCAGAGAAAGAGACAGAAAGAGTGAGAGAGATCAATCACCTTGCGCTCCATCAGGATTCACTCTGCCATCCCTGATTCACAACAACCAACCACTCCTATAGGTTTCCTATTTTTGAAACTTCCGCCACCGCCTTGTGCGGTACTGGTAGGAACAGGTCTTGAAGTCCTCCATGGAGTCATGGACTACATGGATAGTTTTTGTCGCAACCATGGGTTTGAATAGAGTTTAAGTATCATAAATCGTTTAATGGGATATGACTTAACCAACAATTGGGGGATACAACCAGCCAAAATGCTGATTTCTTTTTTGGAAAAAACCTGGGAATTGGCCCGGTTCTTGGGATATGTTGTCCATAGCCATGTTGAAAGGTTACCCTCTGGTAAATTAACATAGGCCCTGGCAGATAGGGGTTGGAAGATTAGTTTCCATTAAAATTAGGCTATTTTCAGGGTCTATGATAATTTACCAGAGGGTAATTGTTTTCTGGTCCAAGATCCAGAATCGGAGCCGATTCGAAGCTGGTCAAATCAACAAAAAAGGTAACCATGCTATAATCCTCATTTTTTCCCAGCGAATGAATGGTTAAATCATGGTTAACCATTTACTAAGTAACCGAAAAACCATGGTTAAATCCTACCATCTGGTTATGACAAAAAGCCAGTTTGCCATGGAAAGATCCACCCATGCTATATAGCTAGGTAAACCATCTATTTCTATGGTCCATGGCTTCCATGGCAAGTTAAATATGATCCCCTAATTCCCGTGGTGAATCATAACATTTTCCCAATAAAAAGATTGCCAAAGTTGACAGACACCGGGTTTTTGGACTAACAGGTCTCCATCATGCATGGATTAGATCTTATTGGCTAAAGCATTGGCGAAAAATCTCCCCATGAAATATCACTTTTTTTTGCATGTTAAATGCCTATTTGCTCCATTATTTTCCATCAAATCCCCAGGTTTTTTCCCATAAAAACACCATGTTGGCTGGTTGTATCCCCCAATTGTTGGTCAAGTCATATCCCATTAAACGGTTCATGATACTTAAACTCTATTCAAATCCATTCAATGATCGTTACAATCCTCATTTTTGGCTGCTTAGTTCAGGATCCCTTTTTTGATTCCCAATAAAACAAGTAGTATGACCCTTCATCTTAACCCATGAATCATCAATGGCCGTTAAATCCCTCATATTGGACTATGTCATCATATCATATCCCATTAACCACCATTTTCCCCTGTGAAATCCTACTTTAATGGTTCATTTGGGTGTCCAAGGCACCATTTTGCACGGACACTGGGTCACCTTGGACTGCAACATATCCAGAACCCGCACCTGCACGGCGGTTTGGAAGTACAGGGGGTGGCCACAAGGAGCTCCTTTTTCTGCTATACGTGTACACAAATATATTGGTGATCATATGGTTGATACATATACACTGCATACCAATATATACTGGTTGGTGGTTTTTCGCCAACCCCTCTGAAAAATGATGGAGTGAAAGCCAGTTGGGATGATGACATTCCCAACTGAATGGAAAAATAATCCAACTGTTCCAAACCACCAATCAGTGAGTATATAACACTAAGACGCCACAGTGGTTTTAACCATCTTGAAAAATATGAAAGTCAATGGGAAGGATTATCCCATATATGATGGAACACAAAAAACATGTTTGAAACCACCAACCAGATAGGGTTTCCATCCCATGATTTATAGGGTTTCAACCATGATTTATAAATGGGCCATTTTCCATAGCTATGTTTGAAACCACCAATCAGTAACACTAAGATGCCACATTCAAATGATTATTACCCTCTGGTAAACGTTTACAAAAACTATGGAAAATCACCATGCTATCAATGGGTAAATCCACTATTTCTATGGCCATTTTCAATAGCAAACTGTTAGTCATTATCAGAGGGTACATCTTCATTTTCAGACCCACATTTTAAACCTGTGGGACTTCTCTCCCGATCATATCCCCAGAAACTGGTTCGGTTAATACCAGAGGGTATTTTTCATCAACAAAAACGGGAAGATCTGCCACGCCTCCTGTCGATGTCGGGAGCTCAACCATGGCGACTGGCAGCCAAGCACCTGAAGAGCTCCCAAGAGCTCCAACGTCAGTGATTTCAGCGGCAAACATAGGGATAGCCGGCCTGGTAAACATACACATAGCTATTGAAAATGGCCCATTTATAGTGGATTTTTCCATACAAAAATCCGGTGATTTTCTGGTAAAACAGTTTGCGAACTTGAACATGGCCCAGTCGAAATAGTGGATTTACCCATTGATAGCATGGTGATTTTCCGTAGTTTTTTGTAAACGTTACTAAAACAAAACTTGGGTATGAAGATTGCTTTCATCACTATTTCCCGGCGATTCATTGCATAAAATCGGCATTTACTCAGCAATACAAAGGAATCAACCCTAACTTGGGCCATTTAAAATGCAATTTAAATTGAGAAAATGATGATAAATGGAGCTTCAGATTTTGAGACAAAACCGTATATTGGATGCAGTTTCCCACATCTAAAGAAATCGAACAAACTAGAGCTGATTTTGCTCTATGGCTAACATTGGCAGTGATAGCCATAACACGTGCACAGGAAGTTTCGGTGTTTGCCCTGGAGAAATCTCAGAGCATCTGACATCGCTTCAGAAGGCCCAAACCCTGGCGGAAATTGTTCAGAGTTAACCGTGCCTGCACTGATTTAGAGATACCCTCTGGTAAACTAACATAGCTATTGAAAATGGCCCATTGATATTTGATTTACCTATTAATAGCATGGTGATTTTCCCATCAGTTATGTAAACGTTTACCAGGCCGGGTATAGCATCAACAGCTAGGAATTTGGGAATCAATGGAGAGCCCGCTAAAATGGCGATTTTCTGCCAGAAAAATACGGTGATTTCGCCAGAGATCCAATGGATCCACAGCATCACGATGGATCGCATCGCCGAGTGGCACGGAAGCAGTTTCGCTCCATCTCGGTGTACAAGACATCCTGGGAACGATGGGGGGCGGCTGTGCGATTCTTACCATGGCCAATCTTGGATACCCCAAAACATCATTTCTATCTGGATAGGACATATTCTCATGAATAGCAAAAAATAACTAAAGGATTAAAATCTAGCCATCCAAAGTCAAGCCAGTTAGGGGTTCATCTACAGATTGACATCCCCAGCGTAATCTAGTGTGCTAGGATGTGCTAGGCGCTAGATAGTTACTAGTTCTTGAACCCACGTGGGTTTGACTGAAAATGACGGGTGAATACCCCCAAATCCAGCCGGGGTATTCATCAGTTAATGCAAGTTGCTTGATGGCAAGATCTGGAGCTTAGATCCCCCATGCTCAAACACGCCCAAGTTTATCATATCAAGTTGGTTATACCATGTTAATCCATGTTATACCTTGACCCTGTATCATCCTGTATCCACATCATTGTTTCCCATGTAGCTTCAAAAAGAACACCTATGTAGATATAGAGAAAGAGGGGGTCCCATTGGCCTTGCTCCTACTATCATCACTCACCCATGGATCTCCGTTCCCTACACTGGTAGCGCAAATGATTTTCTTGGAGCCGAACAGTACAAGAAGTTGATCATTTTTGCTTCCTTAATGAATGGTAACTGGGGGGGGTTCTCAATTTCGGGTACTCCAATAGCTGGATGGTTTATAGTGGACAATTTGGGGGTACCTCCATGCTGCATCGCCCAGATCAAACCCGCAGTCACACCCCAAAAATATGTTGGTTCTATGAAATGTTGTCTCCAGTTTTCCTCATTTGCTCATTGCTAATATGGTAAACATATGAACAAATCCTAACCCTGAATGCCATAGAGCCCGTTGCTGGTATGGTTTTGTATAATTCCGAAATGGTTAAAGCAGGGCAACTGTGGTATGCTCCCCATATTCTCACGGGGATTCAATCCACAAATCAGGGCTTCTTAAGGGTTTATTAATCACCAAGACCTACCAGTTCAATCAGGGCCTCTTATCCAGTACTGGGAGGATCACCTTTGGGGGTTAAGCGGTAGGGTATGCTGGTGATTTTACACCCCCCAATTTTGCCGCTTCAATCACCATTTGCAATGTTAGTAAAGCAATAATAAACCAACCACCCATATTTTATACCATTTTATACCATCCATTTGAGGTTGGGCAAAACTTCCATATTTTTTTGAGCCACAACTCTTGAACAAACAGCAAGGCACTGGTAGCTGCCGTGCAGCCCGGCGAGCACGTTCTGGGTCGGCCTTCAAGACAAATTCACACATGTACCCTCTGGTTATTTGTTACATAGCCATGGAAAATGGCCCATTTATAGATGGTTTACCTATTAAAAATTGTGATTTATGGAGATATGCCCTCTGGTAATTTAACATAGCCATGGAAAATCACCATCTTTAATAGGTAAACCATCTATTTCTATGGGCCATGGCTTCCATGGCTATGTTAAATAACCAAAGGGTAATATGGATTTCTATGTGTACCCTTCGGTTATTTGACATAGCTATATGGTATAAATGGCCCATTTATAGATGATTTACAAAAATGGTGATATTCCAGTTCGCTACGTGAAATAACCAGAGGGTGTACGTGGATGATTCTTTCGTCTTGTGGATATCTCAAATAGCCATGATGGTCATAAGATTTTCGAACAAAAAGTAAAAATCGTCATGAAGTCACCACTTATGAGGGTAAACTCACCATTTCTACATTTCTAGTGTTTAGATCATCATTAGTTGGATTCGTGGCACCTGGTACAGTCAACATGAATTCACCAGAGGGTAACATTTACCCCGTCTCAAATGTTTCTATCCTGAAAAAAGTTTATTAAATTTGTTTCCCCTATCAATTTCCATTAGTTCAACCCGTAGGTGCTCCCAACACCTCAGATACAAATTGGGTAAATTGGCATTGCTAGATAGGTAAAGTGACAATGTTCCTTCTTTTGTGAACATCATTTAGCCATGGCCATTAAAATCTCCCAAAAACAGGAACGCCACCATGAAATCACCGTTTATAATGGTAAAATCACCATTTATAGTAGCAAAATCACCATGTATATTGGAACATCACCATGTCTAGTGCTTAATTCATATTTGTTTAGTGGTAAATCACCATGAAATCACCAGAGGGTTTAAAAATTACCGTTTCCCAAACGTTTGTTGGATGGAATCCTGAAAAAATCACCATTCAAATCTTTCCTCTAGCAATTTTCCATTCGTTCAACCCATGAAAGATCCCACTTTCCCGCCACGTGGTGCACCACGCACCTGGCACAGCTGAATGCCGCGCGCCACCCCCAGCACTCGCAGCACAGCAGGGGTCAGGTGTTGCCTCACCTGCCCAGGACGAAAAATGTGGAGATGGTTTCAATCATGGATTTTCAATGTGATTCAAGTAGAAAACCATGGCATATCATGGCATCTTATGTGTTCTTGCGGATTAAAATCGGAAACAATGGTATTTTTGCAGGAACAATTGCGGATTAAACTAAGAAACATATTGAGTTAAGTGGGACATCTCAGGATTTTCAACAAAGAGTAGCATCTTAAGCTGCAAGAATTTTTCGTTTCAACAATCAAACGTGAGAGACTATGCTTCGGCAAACATGTGGAAATATTTGGATGAACTCAATTGTGGAGAGAGGTTCTCCTTCAAGCTTCGCCAGGCTCGTTTGGGTGTGGCAGCTGGTGGACACTACCACCGAGGTGAACACCAGGGTGGCCGACTCGAACACGGCAGCGTCGCTTGCAAGTACTCTGTTAGTATGTTGTCCGGTGGCATCCGGTGGCATATGTCTTGCGCATATTTTTTGGACAAACTCTTGCGCAGTTCTTTTTTACAAGAAGATATTCCAACAATTTGGCAAAATTCGACAAACACGCAGGGTTTTTTGAACACCTTCTATTTGAAGTTTGGCCACTTCCCAGTGATCCCTGGCCGATCCATTTTCTATTTGATATGGAAACCCTCACATTCTCAATTTCGTGTGGGTTTTCTATTTGAACAATTACCTCTATATCTTCAAGAATTTCATGACCGAGGCCAGTGTCTAATCACCAACCAAGCATCATTTGTTAAGTACCCTCTCGTTGAACAGTTTGCTACAGGATGGGGCCCCCAAGATAGCTAAGTTGGTTGATAAGTGGCTGAATTCTATGGTTTATGGTAGATATAACTATAGTTTTCATGGGGATTTTTTGATGGTTTATAAACCAACGTTCACATCACTGGGGGGCCCCATCCTGTATGGAAAATAGCCATTTCCTGTAAATGCTGATCATCATGATTTACCTTGTAAAAAATGCTGGTTTTCCACAGCTACGTGAAGTCACCAAAGGTTTTTTTTCTTTTTATCGTTTTGCTGGTACCAGATCTGATGGTGAACTCCCTGATTCTCCCCCAGTTCTGTTTGTTAGTTTTTGTTCACCCGTCTAACTAGGTTTTATATAATTAACAATATTTTTCCCAAGTTAACTTAGTCATCAATCAACAAACACCTATTACAATTCAACTATCAATCAACACAGTTGTAATGGTTAAGTCCCAGTTTTGTCCCTCACTATTGATGGTTGCATATGGTTACATCAGTTCACAATAATTTATCAATCACGCCCCCGTTTTTTTGATGGTTAAATCCTATTTTCCGCAGTTGCATCCCAACTTTCTTATTGTTTGGGGGCCCCTTCCTGCGGAGCAACAACAACCCGACACCACCAATGACAGCCTCCTGCAGTAGGATCTTCTGAAAGGAAGAGCCCTCCAACCTTGGGGCTAGGTCCAGCAGTTAAAGATCGGAAGTAGCAATTCTACATAGATTGTACACCATACAATGTATATGATAATGTAACATAAATATATATATATATATATAGATAGATAGTAAACAACGCACTTTTGGCCTATAGTATGCAACATATAAATATACATATAAATATACATTATATATATACATATGATATATATATATACATATGATATATATATATATACATATGATATATATATACATATTATATATATATACATATTATATATATACATATTATATATATACATATAATATATATATATATATGAGCCTGTGAATCTGACTCTCGCAGCCGTGACTTGGAAACTTGGGAAAAGGCAAAACCAAACATCATCCCCGACCCAAAATCATGGAGAAACGTCGATGTCCTTCAAAACCACAGGATAGCAACCAGCAAAGTGCGTCCACCACTTTTACTTTCTCCTTGCACCCATAGCTATGTGCGCCCTCTATTGGGCTTTAGCGCCGGCCTAAGCACAAGGAGCTTGAGCCACCCCTCTGAAAAATATGAAAGTCAGTTGAGATGATTATTCCCAAATATTCCCAATATATGGAAAATAATCCATTCATGTTCCAAACCACCAACCAGCTAGTGAACCATTTGCGCAAAGATTCCATCAAACATATGCGAAGTGAAACCAGATTTGAGGAGTGCTGCTCCTTCCTTTGTTTCCTTGTGCCACAGCGTCTGGTCATATACTTGACATCAATTGGTTTGCAAACGCAAACCACGACTCCAACATCTATCATGCGATTTACCCTCTGGTAAACTAACAGTTTGCTATTGAAAATCACTATTTTATGGGGTAAATCCACTATTTCTATAGCCCTTTTCAATAGCTTTTTGTTAACGTTTACCAAGCCGGGTACCCGGTTTGTGAAAAAATGTTTGCTGATTGAAATATCCACTTGGTTGGTCAAATGCTGCATATTTTCTTGCTGCTTAAATCCCCATTTCTTGCAGCTACCCTCAGGTAAACATACAAAAAACTATTGAAAATCACCATTTATACTGAATTTTCCCATGAAAAATGGTGATGTTCCATAGTTATGTTGAATTGAGGGTAAACTACGCTTATGTTGGATAACATGGTATTTCTCTGCTGAAAACACCCTGAAACACCCAGAGTTGCCATTTTTTTTTGATCAAATCCATCATTTGAGCCATGGTATATGGTTGATGGTCATCCCATCCATAATAAGGATCCAAAAATAATGGTTATTATAAATCCCTATAAACCATTGGATGACTAGCCCCGTTTTTAATGGTTATTAACCATGAGTATTGACCATAGCTCATTTCTTGCATAGAAACCAGCATTTTGTCGTCACTCCCCATTGAAAATGGAACCGATCAACGCCGAGGTGCAAGGGGAAGCGCGCCGTTTCCCGCGTTTCTCTCTCAATGGAGACCGAAGCCACAGAATCTGAGGGAACGATGGGTGATAATTTCTGAAAAAACTCCAAAGCGATACCCTCTGGTAAATTAACATAGACCCTGAAAATAGCCTAGTTTTAATGGAAACTAATCTTCCAACCCCGACATCTGCCAGGGTCTATGTTAAATTACTGGAGGGTATCATCCAATATCATCCGGGTATCCTATTTTCAGACACATCCAAACATGGGCCAAAAAAGCAGGTATTGGATTTAAGCATGACCAGCCTTTTGTGGATCTAATGGTGGGTCGATAGTCTAATGATACCCATATCTCTAACCATCTGTGCAAATTGCAATCATTCCTAAACTTGGATTCCCCAGAATGGCACGTTCCCCCTGAAAATTAAACATTTTTCGATGGTCGAAACTATGTGTAAATTACACAGTAAACCATGGTTTCTGGGGGGTGTTGATATCAGAGGGAAAGGATTACAGCATCTATACCTGTGGAAAATCATCATGTTCAATAGGCGAATCAACATGTTTATCATCTATAAATGGGTCTTTTTCCATAGCAACCTGTTGGTTTACTGGAGGGTTTGCTGGATATTCTCCCATGATATCCCCTATCAAAATTGAGTTTGCATGTCATTTTAGTAGGCAATCCATCTACAACTTTTTTCCTTTTCCATAGCAAACTCTTAGTTTATTGGAGGCTACCCTCTGGTAATGACTAACATAACTATGGAAAATCAGCATTTATAGTGAATGTTCCCATTAAAAATGGTGATTTTCCATAGTTTTTTGAAAACGTTTACCAGAGGGTAGGCCCATAAGCCCACATGCAGTGATGGTGGCCATAAGAGGTCCGGGCAAGCCGGGCAACTGGATGCGGACTGGCTCCAAGTGGAGGTACCTGGCCCGCCAAACATTTGTTGGTTATATGCCCCATTAGTTGATATATGATATGGGGTAGAATTGGGTATGTATGTCTATATCTATATGGCAGTGTGTCAAAACCTTGTACCCCTGGTGAACATCAAAATAGCTGGTAAATGGATGTTCATCCCACTAAAAATGTATCTATAGGTATTGATCCATACCCATATATCCTACTATATGTATATATAACGTATACCAATATATGTATATATATATATATAATATATATATTATTGGTTGGTTAAGTACCATATTCATGAATTGTTCATGGGTGATCTTCCCATACTATTCCCAGTGACCAATCATGACTTGGGATCCTGACTTAAATCATCCCATAAGAATGTACCCAATTTCATAAACCCAATTGATTGGATTATTGGATGATAATTCTCCATTTTTTACCCAATAATCATCATAAACCATCCCATAACAATAAACCATCTATTACACCCCTTTTATTCATCTAAACCATCCCATAACAATAATCATCAACCAACCTTTTGTCTCATCAACCAATGAAACCACCCCTTAACAACAATCATCATTTTAGTTTCATAAACCCATTTTTTAGGGAATATTGGAGATGGTGAAGATTGTTGGCTTTGTCTCATTACACCTGATGACTATCCAGAGACAATGCACTAAAGTCTGAAGATAGCCAGCTACAAACATTTTCCCTATATTAATATGTGGTTTAATCCCCTATCTAAATAGGGTTTTATGATCTAAAGTGTGGGAATATCCAGACATCTGGGTAAATTATAATATTTCACTAACCTGAATTAAGGCCATTTGGGGATGATCAGCGAGGTCGTGATGAAATTTACCCAGATGATTGCCGTTAGAAATATCCCATTGGCTCAACACGTCCCTTCCATCCCAACATGGCGAAACAATGTCACATTTTTTTTTTCGTGTGTCATGCTATTGCTGTTTACATATGTATATATGTAAATATACTATTATATACTCAGCATATGTATATATGTATATATACTATTATATACTCAGAATCGGGCACAAAGGAATTAGAATAATTAGATGGCTTCATACTAAGCATGACCAAGCAATTTGTGGTTCACTGGGTACACTGACATGATATTCGACCAGCCTGAAAAAACAAGAAAGGGGGATTCTATGGGATTCTTATTCTGTGTTCTGTGTAGGAAACAATCAACAACTGCTTGGTTGTTTCAAGCCATCCCAAAACTATGTGTGTCAATCCGGATTCCCCTGTCGATTCATCACATATTTGCTAGTGATTCTTTCCAGTATGTATGTTAAACTAGGCGATATCAGATACACTTCTCAGTTTTAGAGGATAAATCCTGAATTCTATTCAAACAATCCACAATTTTACTGGATATATTCCATTTTTCCTGGATAAATCCCAAATTGTAGTGGATCAATTCCATTTTTTCTTTTCATAAATCCAAGATTTTGCTGAATAAGTCCAACATTCTACCGGAGAATTTCACGTTTTTAGGTGGTCAAATTGCCATTTTTTCGACGATGACTTCTCTCGTGGAGCCCTGCGCCTCGCTGCTTTAAACCTCGCTGCGGTTTTGGTATGGCCATGATGGGAGATAGTATAATGTGGTTAAAACAATGATGATCATAGTATCTCCCATTATACTAATTGGGTAAAACCGCATGAAAATAATAGCTATCATCATAGTATTACCATAGGCACTATGATCGACTTGGTAAAAAATGGGTAAAACAATGGTTAATAATTGTTTATAATTGTTAATAATGGTTAACAATGATGAATAGTGGATAATAATGGACAATAATAATGATTGATGGTTATTGATGTGGGTAAAACAATGCCATAAACCATCCACGACTGGGAATGGTAAACATACCACCTATCAAAATGGTGATGACATGTGATGACTGGGGGATGGTTTCTTATTGCTTTAACATGTTTTAATCACATTAGTACTGTATAGCAATCGTCCAATAGTATGTAGTTACTCCGGTTTTGATGGTTCTATACGCATTTATGAATAAACATTAATATCCCCATTCTAAGTACAATTCACGGTCACTACAGTACTTTTGGGGGAGTTAAATAGACATAAATAAAATAATTGGGAATAAACAAAATAAAAGGGTGCTTTACTTGTTAGTGTTTGGGGATTTAACTGGCAATAACTAGAACTGATATATGGGTTATGGGGAAGCGGGGATAAATCCAGCCGTACTGGATATATACGTAGTAAGTTTAAGGATATGGTGGGGATGTAAAGGGGAATAGATGGGATATGTAACAATAACCAACAAAATGACATTTTAAGGGTTCATCTAGAAATACAGTATGGCAATTCAAACGTTTTGCGGATGAGGATGAACTACTGGATTTCGGGGTACCCTGGTTTTGAACAACCCATCTAGTCCTATGATGTGAAGAATCCATTGCCATACCCTCTGGTAAACTAACATAACTATGGAAAATCAGTATTTTTCATAGGAAAATGCACTATAAATGGCCATTTTCAATAGCTATGTTAAATTACCAGAGGGTAAGACTCTGGACCAAATGATACCCTTCGGTATCTTTGTGAGATGAAGAACGTGCAAATCGATCCGCACGTCAGTGCGGCTGACCAAATCAACAACTGGGGAACATGTGCAAAGGAAGGAGCAGAACATTGGATGCTGGCATATACTCTGAGCTCATTGGACAGAAAAGTGCGTGACATCTTGCACAATTCTACCGAGGTTTCCTAAGTCATGGGGATACCCGGGGGTCATCATCCAAGTCATGGATGACCATTTGAAACCCATGGTGACTTGGCAGTGGATCCGCAAGGCACCAGCCCCAAATGTGTGGATGATTTTATTGGGATGAATTATCGTAACCATCTACATATGATTTTATGGATGATTTATAGATGTGGTATAGGTTTTAGATTTATTGGAATGATGTGATTGAGATGAACCAAGAAACTGGTGAATTGGGTATACCCTCTGGTAAGCATACAAGAAACTAGTGCACATGGCCATAGACAGTTCGTGGATTTACCCATTAAAAACGGTGTTATTTTCCCATGAGTTTTTGTAAACGTTTACCAGAGGGCACCCGATTCTTGGGCTTCGCATGAACAGCGTGACACATCCTTTTCAACAACACCGCCATGGAGTCCATTTGGAGTCCATTTGACAGCCAGAATTTTGTGACGGATCAATGGTTTACCCTCTGGTTATTTAACAGTTTGCCATGGGAAATCACTATGTTTAAGAACGGTAAACCCAGGTAAACCATCTATTTCTATGGGCAAATGGCTATGTTAAATAACCAGAGGATAAATGTTTTGTTATCAAAGCCCACATGTATGTAGCAACCATCCATACCAAACTATCCATCCAGCCAGTTGAGCCAGGAATTTATCTAACATAATTGGTTGGTGTTTTTTTGCCACCCCTCTGAAAAATGATGGAGTTCGTCAGTTGGAATGATGACATTCCCAATATGTGGGAAAATAAAAAATGCTCCAAACCACCAACCAGTTTATGTAGCAATATCATTTTAATCCCAGTTTCTTGCCATACGCTCTGCATGTTTGGTTAGAATCCCAGTGTTTACCCGAGAATTTTTCAATGATTTCCTGGCACTTGATCACCCTTTGGGGGTGCATTCCGGATAGAGTTTTTGGGGTAATAACCATATGAAATTCCCCAATTATATATGAAATATCCTTTGAAAGTAAACACTTTCCTGTGGATATCAGCCTTAATAGTCTATATATATATATATTTATATATATATATATATATATATGCACATCCTTTCATCAAATAATGGCAAACCAACAAAAAAAACATCCCAAAATCACCATAAATGGATGGTATAAACTATCCCCAAATGGTAGCTTTATTATTTGGTTTCCCGCATTACAGTAGATGTCTAGAATATACACAATACTTGATTTACCTATTCAACATGGTGATTTTCTATAGCAAATTGTTAGTTTACCAGAGGGTTTAACTATTGATCCAAGTAAACTCTTTACTAATATTAGTTAGATAAATGTTTACCTTGATTTTCCAAAATGAGTACCCTCTGGTTATGACTAACATAGCCATGGAAGCCATGGCCCATAGAAATATATAGAAATAGATGGTTTACCTGGGTAGACCGTTCTTAAACATGGGTGGATCTTTCCATGGCAAACTGTTAGTCATAACCAGATGGTAAACCATTTATCCAAGGTTTTTCCCCTCGTTGATCGCTCCAAGGTGCTACGGAAGTAAGGCGAGACCCACTGGCACTGCCTCGGACGGCGGCCGGCTTCGCGGTGAGCCATCTCAGGTAGCCTCTGGTAAACATACAAAAAACTCGTGAAAATTGCCATTTATAGTTGATTTAGCCATCAAAAATGGTGATTTCCCATATTTTTTTGTATGTTTACCAGAGGGTAGCTATTAAAAATGGGAAAACTATGGACATGTGGATAACTGGTTGGTGGTTTTTCGCCACCCCTCTGAAAAATGATGGAGTTCGTCAGTTGGGATGATGACATTTCCAATATACGGAAAAATAAGCTTATTTTTCATGTTCCAAACCACCAACCAGATAAATATTCGGAAAATGTCATGGCTACTCTTAGAGCCCCTTCAAAAACTTCGTAATTAGGTATGTTTACCAACCAAACATGGCAAATCATGCTGATTTTAACCTGAAAACATCAAACTGTGACCTTGAAATAAATTGCATAAAGCCGCAGAAAAACGTGCATACCACTCAGCATGAAAGTGCTTCTGTGTAAGCTGGTGGCATGACCAATTAGAGCCATGATCGTATGAGGGCTATCCATCTATGGCGACGCAGGGCTGAACTCAGCCAACCATTCACACTCCAGAGGCCGTAATGTCACTGAGCAAAGCCTTGCTGGCCTGTGGGGAAATGGTATCGGAAAAATGCCGCGTCACTGGGCGAATCAATGAATGTATGCATAGCCAGGCGCCTCTCACGGCGATACTCCAGGTCAACCTCGCTCTCCACTTGATCCGTCTCCATAGACATCAGGAGGATGTCTAGCTCGATGTTGCGGAGGATGTCAGCCTACCCTACGCGCGTTGCCACAGCAGGAACTGGCCCTCACAACACCATGACATGCATCTGGCAGGCTATCATTCGCACGTAGCCGTATCAGGGGCCGAAGAAGCTTGATGCCTTGAGCCCAGCTCTTCCTTTTCCCATGTCATCCTTCGGAACATCCTCGCCTTGACACCCTTACCCTGCGGCGCATATGTCTCTAGGAGCTTCATCGATGGCAGAGTGATTGCCTCCAGCAAGGTGCCACAGAATTCTCTCCACTTTTCGGCTGTCATCACACCTTGATAAGATGCATTTCCCATCTCTGTGAGATCGTAGAAGAGCACCTGAACATTGGGTAGTCGATTTCCGCAAACAAAGTCGTCTTTGTGCGACCGCATAGTCAGCTGAATTCAAGATTCTAAACCATAGTTTGTACTTCAGTTTCTACAATGCAGCTTTGATGCCACGAAGAACCGGTCTATTTTGGGGCTCTTTGCCCCTTCACGTTCTCCATCAAAACAAGTCTGTGTTTGTGGCGCTTTGTGTACTTTTTTTCTCGGCACTTTCACAAGAATTTATCTCCAGGATCTTTGGATCTTTGGGACCTGTCCCTATTCCCTGTGAACTCCACTGCATCGCGGGGTAATGTCAATCAAACCATCGACCTGGCAAACGAAGATCGCCCACTAGGATATGTGTGGATTAATCAACACATCATCCAAGCATGAATGGTTAACACATCATTGATATTTACGGCTAATGGTTGGTTGAAAAGTTTTGAATGGTTAATATACCCACCAGCTTATCTCTCTTACCATCATCCCTATAATGATCCTGCAAGTGGGCAATAGATTTGCTCCGCCAATGACATGCGGATTCGTGTGGTTTCATATTCTTGAATTTCTTCGTTGTAGCAAATGTTTCCCACTTCAGTTTGCGCAGGTGGCCACAATTGTGAAGCTTATATCCCAGGGTTATACCGGCTAGGACACAGCACAAATTGATGGTGAACAAGAGCTGTTTTCTATAGATTTCCCCTTGAACCAAGCCTTTTTATCGCCATTTTACACAAGTGGACAATCCACAATGCATTGACAGCTAATTCTTCAATTATATGTATATATGGACATATATGTATCCATCCCCCATCTGCCGGCTACCTGTCAGATAGGTAGCAAACCCCAAAATCAAGGGGTAAAATCATCCCGGCTACCATTATCAAAGGTAACTGGAAGGTTGGGGCATTTATGATTGGTTCAATCATGTAAGATATCCTAACATATCTAAATTTCATAGTGAATCACCAAACCCAGATTATTAAAAAATATTTCAATACCATATATACATACAGTTTCCGAATGCATATGTATGAATCCGCCAGCCTGCCGGCGTGTCTGATTGGGAGGTGTTGTTCTTGTTTCTGTTCTTGGCTTGTGCGTGTTCCTTTTTTCTCTTGCTGCGCGTTTTTGCTTCGTCTGAATCAAGGTCAGCCCCCCCTACCCCCCCATTTGCACTAGCACTAGCGCTCGTACTGGTACTGGTACTGGTAATAGTACTAAACTAGTACTACTGCTGCTGCTGCTGCTACTGCTACTGCTACTACTACTACTACTACGACTACTACTACTACTACCACTACTACCACTACTACCACTACCACCATTACTACAACTACAACTACAACTACAAAAACAACAACAACAACTACTACTGCTACTGCTACTACTACTGCTACTACTGCTACTACTGCTACTACTGCTACTACTGCTACTACTGCTACTACTGCTACCACTACGACTGCTACTGCTACTGCTACTGCTACTACTACTGCTGCTACTACTACTACTACTACTACTACTACTACTACTACTACCACCCCTACTCCTACGCCAACTCCTACGCCAACTCCTACGCCTCCTCTACTCCTCTACTCCTCTACTCCTCTACTCCCTTCTTCCCCACCGCTACACTGGTAGTGCCGGTAGCTAATGACACTGCCTACGGCAGTACCGTCGTCTACAGGTACTCGTCACAGGACGCACACGGTGCTGATCGACCAGTACTCATTTGGTATGCGTTCCATTGGTTGTTCAAGCTCGCGCTTGGTACTCAAGCTGCTTCTGATCTACGGCTCTGTCTTCGTCATCTCTTCTCTCAGGCTTCCACCTAGCGTGCACGTCAACCTCCCTTGGGGCAAAATCTCTCCGCTTCCACCCTGTCTCCTTCCATGCAGCGGTCTGCTGTCAAGCCAGATCCAACTAAGATTTACAGACCGTTTTGTGAATTAGACCTCAAGAAATGCAGTCGGGAGACAATTTGCCTGGTTACTGCACCCATGGAATAACCAATTCAGGCACTTCAGGGCTATAAAGGTGCACCCCTGCACCCAGATGATCAACAAATTGTGGTATCTTTTTTTCAATTAAGGTTCCAATTTAATATTAAGGGAAAGCTTTGAAATCCAACTTTTGGCAATATTTTAACTGCCTTAAAAAGGAAATTGATTGATTTTGAACTGGAAAAGTTTTGCATTTTAATAAAGTTATTCAGATTTATCGTGGGGGGAAGCTTCGAACCCCAATACTAAATACCCCCTAAATTTGAACAACTACCCCTAGGTTTTTTAGGGGGGCACGAGGGGGAACGTTTAATTTTTGGGGAAGGGATTGGAAATTCCAGACCAGAACCGGAATACCCAGCATGAGGGGTGTGTGTATATATATATATCTAAGAAACATAATATAATATAATAAAATAAAATAACATAAATAATGCAACACAATACAATACAATATCATATAACATAATATGATATGATATGATATGATAAAACATAATATAGTACAATACACTAAAATACAATATAGTACAATATAATAAAATAGAGAGTAATAAAATACAATATAATGAACTACAGTAAATATAATGTATTATAACACAATATAAAAGAACGTCATATAATATCACAAAATATAATGCAATACAATATATTTTAAGGCAATATAATATAATGTAATATAACATGATATAATATTATATTATACCATATGAAATAGCTATATATTTATATATACATACATATAGTCAATATATATATATGTATATATATATATTGAAACTCAAACATATTTGATATACTATATAAATCCAATATATATATACATATATACAAATATGTAAAATATAAAATATAATATGTACTATATATTAGTACTATATTAATATACGCATAGTATATAATACAAATATATAATACAAATATATAATACAAATATATAATACAAATGTATAATACAAATACATAATACAAATATAAAATACAACTATATAATACAACTATATAATACAAATATAAAATACAAATATATAATACAAATATATATAAATACATACATATATATATATACACACATATACATGTCTGTATAATATATATAAAATATGTTTGCATATTCTATTGATTATACATTCCAGAGAATATCCATATTATCCTATTATATCCCATTATTGCTGGTAAAACTCCCTATTTTTGTTGCTTGTCACAACAATCATATCCATCAATGGTCATTCCAGGATCCTAAAATGCAGGTACTGTGCCATATAAGGCCATATTATATGGTGATATTCACTTACATAGGCCTTATATATGGTAGGTACCTCCGTTTTTTTCGGATCCTGAAATTCCCATTGATATGATGGTATAGCGACCAAGAAAAATAAGGAGTTTTACCAGCAAAAATAGGGATACTGAAATTCCCATTGATATCCGTGGTGCGCCAAGGCTACAAATGGGATTGATATCTTCCTCTGTGCGGTAGACAGGTCCCCAGAAGCATCTCCTGGCGGCACTTCTGCCTGCGATATTTATAAAGTCGCTTGGGGATGAACCTTCTAAATCATCATAGTGATCTGGATCAAAACCATGGTTATTATACAGTATGGTTATTATATGGTTAATGATGATTGATAATAATCTGGTTGGTGGTATACCATTATACCATCTGGTTATGACTAACAGTTTGCCATGGAAAGATCCACCCATTTTTAATAGGTAAACCATCTATTTCTATGGGCCATCTATACCATGGCTATGTTAAATAACCAGAGGGTAAATGATCATAGATATCATTGATCTGGTTGGTGGTATACCTACCCCTCTGAAAAATATGAGTTCGTCAGTTGGGGGTATGAAATTCCCAATATATGGAAAACATGTTCCAAACCACCAACCAGATTGATATATTCGTCAATTCTCATTGATCATCCATTATTCAGCAAAATTAGTTATGACAACATATGGGTATGAGTCAAAACCCTGGTGCCCTAGGTACCCTAAAATAGCTGGTCAATGGGTGTCTATTCATGTTTATTCTCTCAAATATGAAACTATATGAAACTAATGGACCTATCCCATATCCACCACAAATACGGTGGTCCATTGTAGTTATGAATCAACACACCTATCTTTGGATGGTCCACAGTGTGTGAGATTGCTTGATTTTCCCTGGAACCTTTCGTAGTTTGTAAGACAACTTCGATTGGAGAACTGCTGTTCCAGCTTCCTCGAAATGAAGCGATTGCATGAAACATCGGAAGAACAAGTGCATGAATCCAAAACTGACATAGACATCCATGGCCAAAAAAAACACCCCCCCTCAAGCACAGAAATCAGCCACATTTCCTCTCTTTTTTCAATTTCTAGTAGGACATGTTCCGAATTTTTGGCAGCTTGAACCGCTGGTTCAACTCCCACACCACCCAGAAGGGTCCTCCAGTGCGCCAACTGTTAGGCCGAAGTGAAACATCAAGAGCTGGAGGTTGTCCTGGTTTTGATATGATCTGGAATATATTTCAATGGGAATTCCAGGATCCTAAAATGGAGGTACTGTACCATATAAGGCCATATTTTGTGGGGATATTCCCTTACATAGCCCTTACATAGGCCTTATATATGGTAGGTACCTCCATTTTAGGTTCCTGAAATGGCCATGGATATATGGAGGTTTCCTGAAATGGGGGTACCCCCCGTTCTCATCCAGCTATCAAATTGGGATTTTCCATGAAATAAACCATGCAGCGAGCCATCCCGATTGGTTCAAAAGCCCTTGGTGCTTCACCCCACGAACAGAAGTAAAGAGGGTAAGCAGGATTTGTCCAGTTATAGCTGGGACTTTAACCTACTTGTAGACTACATGGGTTTTATGATGTTTTATGCAAAAACTCACATCCGATGCTCACTGCAATACATACTTATTCAACGCAATTTTTGACGGAATCTCAAATGTAATTTAAGCAGCAGTAACTACAATAACTGGAGATACAGTCTGATGAGGATATAATGGAATGACTTGTCTGAAAATGGTGGTTTAACCAGCAAAAATAAGGAATTAGCCAAACA